TCATTTAGGCCTTTCTCACCACTTTTACTGCTAGCAGCATCTTCCAGGCCTTGTCTCTTTATATTTTGATAACTATAACTTAGCAATATGACTCAACTCCAAATCAGTTTGCATACTCTGGCCCAGCTATTTTTCTCCAAACTACAGCTTTCGATCATGTCATTGTGCAAGTAAATCTTTATTTAGGTATTTTTATAAGCTTTATTGAGATATAATTCACAAAACATAAAATGCACTTTTTAAAAACATATTTACTTATTTGAGAGGGAGAGTGCACGTGAGTGGGGGGAGGGGCAGAGAAGAGAATCTTCAAGCAGACTCCCTGCTGAGCGTGGAGTCAGACATGGAGCTCGATCTCAGGATCCTGAGATCATGACCTGAGCTGAAACCAAGAGTCAGACGCTTAAGCAATTGAGCCACCCAGGTGTCCCAAAATGCACTTTTTAACGTGTACAATTCAGTGGTTTTCAGTATATTCAGAGTTGTACAACCATTACCATCTATTGGCTATGTCAGTATTAGAAAGTAGAAATAATTCTGGTCCAGTTGGTAAATAACCGCTGCCCCAACTCAGAGAATGCCCACTCCCTGACCAGTCGCTCCCCAGGTTACCCCATTCCTATCCCCAGAAACTCCCAGAACTTTTCACAGTTTAGCTGCCAGAGGACTAACAGCTGGCACAATGAAGGACTCTAGAACCTTCCTCCATTACTATGGCTACTCCCTGTTGTCAAGTATTTTGAATGTCACCCTTGGAGAAAAGACATGTGGTTTCTTAAATGAAGACAGAATCAAAGAATACATTTCTTTATTAAAGATACCCAATTACATGGTTCAGTTAAATTATCCTCATACTCTTATAGAATTTCCTAGCAGCATTTGAATCTGTATTCCCCAACTCCTTTATCACTCTCCAAATATGAAACCCTTTTAAGGTTCCACATTCTTGACAATGCCAATCCGTCTTTCCTTTCCAGCTCAAGTTCCTTTCTCTTTTTTTAAGATTTTTTTATTTGAGAGAGAGAGCGGTGGGGGTGGGGGGGGGTTCAGAGGAAGAAGCAGAGTCCCTGCTGAGCAGGGAGCCCCATATGGGGCTTGACCCCAGGACCCCCAGATCATGACCTGAGCCGAAGGCAGAAGCTCTACCAACTGAGCCACCCAAGTGCCCCTTTCTGTTCTTTTCTTTTTGCATCTCATACCCTTAGGACCTTTTTAGGATTTCATGTTCCCGAATTAATGAAAATATTTGCCTTATTTTCCCAGTTATTAGGAACACAGCTATTTGAATGCACCATCAGCCTCCTCTTGGCCCTTCAGAGCCTGTTTTGTGAAAAAAGTGTGCACATGCCACTATCCAAACTAATGAAAGCTACTCTATTTTTCCCTCATATCCAAAATATTAAGTTTTTGCCCCTTTCTTCATACAGCTCATGTTTAACTCTCTTCATTTGAAATTATTTTCAAACACCCTTACTGGCAACAAAGATAGAGAGAGAAATGTATCTCATAAGAAATAAAAGCTAACCCTAAGATGGAGACAGCTGTTATTTGAGGGAATTTGGAAATTTAAAGAACGAGAAATAGATGACAATTCTGAACTAATTTCTTTTACTTTTCTTAAGGCAGTCAACCTCCTCTAAAAGTGAACACATCTCTAGATTTTTGAGATAAGAGCGACAGATTGATGTCTTTTCATATTCAGTCTTGCTTTCATTCAAGAAATATTTATCAACAACTATATGTCAAGCATCTTGCTAAGTACTGGGGAAATAGTGGTGAATAAAAAGAGATTACCAGCATTGCCTTCCATTGATCCTAGAGTCACGTTGTAGTAGGATGAAAGATGGCCCCAATCTTTACAGCTCCTTGTCAACATGTCTTCGTTTGTAACTTTGCAGTGCCCTCCCACTCTGATTTGGGACTTGTCCATGTGACTTACTTTGGCCACTAGAATAAGCCAGAAGTAATGGTGTATGTGCCGCCTCAAGAGGCTTTCACATGTCCTCTTGCACATCTGCCACTGACACGAGAGTGTGCCTGAGCCAGCTTTCTGGAGGATGAGAGACATGTGGAGCCGTTGCCCCAGTCTTCGATCAGTAGTCAACCAGCTCATCCCCAGATATATGGGTGAGCCCAGCCTCTACACCCAAGAACAGCAGTTGCCTTGCCAACCTGCAGCTGATTCCAAATACATGAGCCATAAACCATTACTGCTGAGTGCCACTGAGATTTTTGTGGTGTTTTATTACACAGCATTATGTGGCAACAGAGTACTGATACATCACTTAATCATTAAAAAATAAACATAAAATTAGAAGTTGCAATGTGTGCTCTGAAGGCCTGGAGTATAGAAACATGAGAGTACAGGAGAGCTAGATCTAGCCTAGGCAGGTGGAGAGCAGAGGTCAAAGAACACTTCTTCAAGGAAGGGATGCGTGGGCTAAGATCCAAAGGATGTGCAGAAGTGCACTAGCTGAAGAATGGGAAAAAGTGTTGTTTAGGTCCCTGGCACAGCATGTGCAAAGGCTTTGTAGGGAAGGAATACAAGTAGTAAGATAGTATAAGAAGGCTGGTGTGGCTGGAACATGGAGATAAAGGCGACAAGGCAAAGAAATGAGCTGGAATCATAGACAGTGACTTATAAACCTTACAAAACATGTGAAGGGTTTCAGGCTCAATCCAAAGAACAGGGAGAACTACTGAATAATTTCAAGATGGTAATAACAGTTGTTCTTCTCACATGCTTACCTGGCTGTGCAGTGGATAGGGAGTTTCTCAATCACACATCTTGAAATTTGCCCATGAATTTCATAGGTTAGCTCTAAAACAAAGGTATCATCCATCCACTTATTTAATGAACATTTATTAAGAGGTTCCCATTGGGGATGAATATATGATTCAGAGATTCAACGAATGAATGAGCCGGTGCCAAGCAATCTGATAAGTACTGGAGAGACCCAAAGGCAGGACTCCTGCTCTTGGAATGGTCACAGTCTAGGAGGGAGATGAACACAAGAAAGAGATGTCCTTACTAACCCAGAGGTATATGAACAATGTGATCTAAAAGCGTAGAGAAGGAATATCAAAGTGTAGAGAAGAGGGCCACGTTACACACACAGGAAGAAAAATGGGCTTGAGGACATCACAGCTTCTATTCTGACCTAAGAGTTTCTGTCCTATCTGACCCCGTGGGTGAGTGGGCAGTCGGGCTGGAGACACAGGAGAAATCGAAGGCAAATAACAGTGCACTGAGACCCAGGGCACCTTCCTCTGTGGAAGTGCAGCTCCTAATCCAGAAGTTACCGGTCAGTATCAGCACTCGGCTATTTTCTTAGATTCCTATTGTTTGGGGATGTTCTTTGTGCATCCTTTAGTGGAAATCCTAATGTCTGAGAAGATACCTTAATTCAAAATAGATATTGCATATTCTCTCAAAGCTCTCGGAGAAGCCCATATAAGAACCTGCCATTTTCTAGGCAAAATGGTAGAATAAAATCAAAAGATCATTGGGCTTCTTTGTGCCCTTAGTTGGCCTTTAAAAATGATACGATAGGCAAACAAAAGCCCATTTTCCCAATTACAATATGGTTAGACTTGGGAGTCAAGTTTGGATAACTGTAACCCTCTGTCTTAGAGATTTTTCGGGACCACTATTTTCCTGCCAGTCCAGAGGTGTTCGTAGTAAAAAGGGGCACCCGAGCACTGTTAGTGCCGGTGGTCTCACTGAGAAGACTGTTGTGCTCAGCTCCACACTGCGAGCAGCCCGAGCGCTGTTGAATGCATGCTTGACAGGGACCAAGAAAGAGCCCCACTGGGACCCTGGATTCGCTGCATTCCACTGGGCCAGAATGTTCATTTTGGCAAGTCCGTTTGAAGGTCCAGCAGGACCTTCTTAGTTCTCGTCCAAGGGTCTGGCTCATTCTGGCCTTTCACTATGGCCTCTGATTCGCATATTCTATTTAATCTGCCAGTGAGTGTTGTTCTCCAACAAGCAGCAAGAAAGGATCTTTTAATGAAATATGTTATAAGCTCTAGTCAGTATTCATGTTCTCGGCAAATAAAGTTGGTGATTTTTACTACTGGGTGAGGCTCTTTTAAGGTGAGTATTAGAAGATGTTAAGTTGTAAATCCCATATTCAGTGCGGTGCTCTCATACATATAGCCTCATCCCTGCTAGGAAATCCCCAACTTTCTAACAGCCACTCAGTGAGTTTTTCTTCAACAGCAGTTCCCAAAGTTCTGTCTCTTCTATTGTTAGGGTTTGCATAGTCTTCAGATACTGAGCCCAGTTATTTCTCTAGTGAGTGCTCCACAACTTATAGGTATAGCATCCAGAGAGGTCAAATGCTCTTCATTTGACCTTTTTTTAAAAAATGACAGCAAAAGATTGGGATGAATGGATTATTTCTCCTTGCAAAGTACCCAGACGCTGCTGGACACAAAGTAGACTCTCAAGAGATGTTTCTTCTAATAAGTAGGAGAATCTATTTCACATTAATCATATTCACAATTGAAAGACTATAAGGATAGCTTGAGAATATTGCTTAAAATCCTTTGTATCGCTCACTGAATTAAAGTAACAATAACAAATAATAAGAACAAGAGGAAAATAAATTTATAGGCCACATCTGCTAGCAAAGCCAACTACCATCCTTTTTCTTTTTTTTAGATTTTATTTATTTATTTGACAGAGAGAGAGAGACAAGCAGGGGGAGTGGGAGAGGAAGAAGCAGGCTCCCTGCTGGGCAGAGAGCCCGATGCGGGGCTCGATCCCAGGACCCTGGGATCATGACCTGAGCTGAAGGCAGATGCTTAACGACTGAGCCACCCAGGCGCCCCCCAACTACCTATTCTTGACGGAAATGAATTCTCATTAGAGTCAAATATTCTCCTAGAGCTTATTTATATTTCTGTCATGATCCAGTAAGTTCTGAGACTGAGAGAAACTACATTTGACATAGCCCACATGAGCCCTGGCACATCTAATCTGCAACCTCCACTTTTAATTTACATCTGAAAAATGAATGAATGAGCAACTACAGGGATATGAAAGGCAGGGTCACACAAACACAGTGCATAATTTTATTACACCTGCTGCCCAGCTCCGAACAAATAAACTCCATTACATGTGCTGGCTTTGTATCCAAGAGGGTAAACCAAACTGCTCTCCCATCCTGGGACAAACACACAAAATCTGTCAACACAGCACTCAGCCCGACCCACTGACTTGATCCTACAGATCTCTATTTCTAAAACCAAGTTTTCATTTTAATAACCTTCCTTTTTAATTTAAGCAAAGCAAAATGGAAACAGCACGGGAACGGATGCAAAAGTACAGTGAAAATGTCTTCTTGGACAAAGCTATTTTAATGAAAGCAACACTCTGCAGTCTCCCTGATTCCTCCTCGTGTTCAACCACCCAAATTAGATTCACTTCATTAGCTGTCTTCATCAGATTTCGCAAAGCGGGGGACTATCCAAAAGAAATAAAAGGTGAGCATTTTCCTTAAAGCAGGATGCTAGGTTTTGAACACAAACATTCAAATTAAGTGAAGGAACTTGATTAAACCCACAATTCAAGATAATGATGAACTGAACGCTGCAACTCAGCTGCCTGACGCACTTTAGCATATGAATTAAATTTTCTGTTAGCTAACACACTTAAAAAAAAAAAAGACTGTATTTAAACATCTTCCTTCAGGGAATTGGCCATATGTGGAATTAACAGACTCTTGGGTCCACATGGGGCTTGGCTTGCAATTTCTGGGTTTGCTAGGAAAGTGAGTTTATTGCATTATGTTGAAATGGACACTGGGAGATTTATTTGAGCATATGACACTGTAATAGGGATGTCTACTTAATCAGATGTGCCATCATTCAAATATATACAGGTGGACTAGCCATTGTTTCATGAGTGATCATACCAAAAATGGATATATATGGCCAGATGCTAAAGAAGGCACTTCAAATAAGAGACGAGTGCATGCGGTGATGATAGGGAAGAGCTGTCGTGATGTACAACATGGATCTTCCTAAGTACATTCACAACTCTATAGCAAAATGTTTTCCATAAAAACTTCATTCCACAAATAGAATTAAAAAATGGAATCATAGCATATGGCCATGTAAATTGTAAATGTAATCCACGTGTCTTCCACAACGCCAGTGTGGATGCACTAATGAAGATGCAAATGAGGAAAGGTATACCATTAAGTTGGCTACCTCTAAATACCCAGATGTCCCAGAAATCCCAGAGCCATTCTGTGAATATCAAAAGGAAAAAATATGATCAGGAGATAATTTCAGCTTTGATATTTGTAGTCTTACAGACTTCAGATCTTATATAGCTTCAGTATCACAAGATGCATCGGGAGACTTAAGTGCTTTATAAATCCTACAAGGACGAAAGGGAAGCAAATCAATTATAAAGAGGTGGAGGCCCGGTGATTTCCAATTATTGATACCACACTGTAGGGAGATGGCTCGAGACTGATCTGTGGAGGAAATCGGATATAAATGATGAAGTCTTGAAGAATTTTAGTTAGCTGGGGAGGAGTTACATTTTAGGGTACATTCACTTTTTAAAGCACTGTACTACATAATTTACATACATTGGATGTTATTGCCATTTTGAGATGAAGACAACAAAAGCTCAAAGATGAAATAATTTCACAAAGTTACTAATTACCCAGACGGATATGTGAGCACAAGTATTTACAAGGCTGTCTTTCATGTATCACCTTCACAACTTTTGCCAGACCACGTGCCATCAGAGCTATATTCCATTTAATACTTTTCCCTAATTAGGGGCATCTGGTTGTACCAGTCAGTAGAGCATGCAACTCTTAATCTCAGGGTCGTGAGTTCAAGCTCCACCCTGGGCATGGAGCTTACTTAAAAATAATAATAATAAATAAATAAAATAAAATAATTTATGGGGCACCCAGCTGGCTCAGACAGTACAGCATGCAACTCCTGATCTCAGGGTTGTGAGTTCAAGCCCTATGTTGGGCATGGAGCTTACTTAAAAATAATAAAATAAAATAAAAATTTTATAATGCTATTATTAATAGAAAATAATTATCATTTGCCATAAGCAGAAGGCAACTACAAAAATAAATTCTAGCTGAAGAGTGTGACCCATCCAAAGCTCTGATCCTGGGGCCTGACTCTTCCTTGTAAGGAGGGCTTGCGAAGTTAGAGGGGTATTAAAGACCTTCGTGCACCAACTTTTCTCTTGATGTAAACAGGAGGACTGAAAGAGCACTGACATGGGAATCCTATTTGTCTCCTGTGTTATAGTTTTATTTGATGACTGGATGTGCCACATGTGGATATACCACCTGGAATGAATCACCCTACCTATCAACAGTGGCATGCTCGCCACAATTTGGGGAACTATGCGCCATTGAATGACCTTTTTTTTTTGAGCTGGAGCCAGGGAAGATAGAAGGAAATTGATTGGATCTGATCTTTTTTTTTTTTTAAAGATTTTATTTATTTATTTGACAGAGAGAGACACAGCGAGAGAGGGAACACAAGCAGGGGGAGTGGGAGAGGGAGAAGCAGGCTCCCCGCAGAGCAGGGAGCCCGATATGGGACTCGATCCCAGGACGCTGGGATCATGACCTGAGCTGAAGGCAGTCGCTTAACCAACTGAGCCACCCAGGCACCCTGGATCTGATCTTTTTCAAATCAAAATTCAATTTGAAAAAAACTAATCTCTGCTCCTATGTATGAGTCAATTAAATTTTATATGTAACAAATCTGAGACTGAACTCAAAGTTAAACATAGGGCTAAATTCTTTCAAAATACTGATATTCAGGATGCCTGGGCGGCTCAGTTGGTGAAGCATCTGCCTTTGGCTCAAGTCATGATCCCAGGGTCCTGGGATAGAGCCCTGAGTCAGGGTCCCTGCTCAGCGGGGAGTCTGCTTCTCCCTTTGGCTCTGCTCCTCTCCCCACCCCACTGCTCATGCTCACTCTCTCTCTCTCTCAAATAAACAAATAAAATCTTTTTTAAAAGTGCTATTCAACAGGCTTCGAGCATGCTGGATCTAGGAACTATTGAGTATCCTTTGCCATGGTTCCTGGTTAAACTACTGTGGGACATCACGATGCAGACATCACCAGGCCCCTCTCTCTTACAAAACTCGAGAAGACAGGCTAGAAGTTCCTCATACCTTGCCTACTCCTGGGCAAACCTGACTCAAAGAGTGGCCAGGTGGGGCCTGAAAGTCATTTCTCAGCATAATTTTGTCTTGGCCTTCTCATTTTTTTTTCTAAAAAGAACAGAATGGCAGCATGGCCATTAGAGTAGCAAGATTATCACCATAAAATACTAAAAAACCACCTCCATATGTCAAACAGAATAACCAAAAGACATTTCTACATCCCTGTTTCAAAAGTGTTTTGTTTCCTCATCTTCTGTAATTGGACTCACTAGCCTGTTTAACAAGGTATCTAAACTTCTACAAAAATACAAACAATATCTTAGCTTTCCGTATTTTTATATGCATGTACTATGTCATCCCAGAAAAACCCACATTCATATGTGTACCAAACTTAGTATGTACTAACACACACACACACACACATGCATACACACACACAAGCTGTCTTAAAAAACGAATTTCAGTAGCAAATATGGCAATGGATCCTAAGTGAGAAATACATTGAAAATGAAAGAAATGCAAATTCAGAGTCATGTCAGGAAACAGATTTTCCAATGGTGATAAAATTGTACATGAGACAAGACTATTTAAGAAAATGCAACAGAGTCACTGCAAAAAGAAAAGAAAAGAAAAGAAAAAAGTCAATGTCCAGGAGGAACAGAGTACCAACTGGCAAAGAAGCCTGATAACCTACAAGCCCTCTGCTTGTTCCAAATATTTATATTTCTGGAGAAATACAGGTTTGTTCTAGAATTAGGAAAGCATATTGCTAACATCTTACACTTTCCACCAGCCAGTAACCAGTTTAATTATTAACAGAGTTCCCTGACCAAACTATTGCTTCAAAAAAGGTAGTTCCCTCACAGATTACACCCTCTTCTTTGCAACCCAACACTGGTCCCAAACACTGGCACATGGACATTGCTGAATGAAACCTCAGTGGGTAAATCAGTATATAGATGAGATCTTGCTCTTAAATATAATTTGGCCAGATTTTGGAAATGTGACAGGAGGCTTGACTTGAATGTCAATCCCTTTGCCTTTCTCAGGAGTGTCAGTATAACACTAATGATACTTTCTCAGATATTTTTTTAAAGATTTTTTATTTATTTATTTGAGAGAGAGAAAGAGGGTGAGCATGAGCTGGGGAGGGGCAGTGGGAGAGGGAGAAGCAGGCTCCCCACTGAGCAGGGAGTCAGACCTGGGACTCAATCCCAGGATCCTGGGATCATGACATGAGCTGAAGGCAGACTCTTAACCAACTGACCCACTCAGGCGCCCAATACTTTCTCAAATATTTTTAATGTAATATCCTATACTTCCATAATTGACACAATAATATAAACAGCTTCAGGAAATTCAGTTGCTCTAATTCTCCAAAGCTAATTTTTTTTTTAAGATTTTATTTATTTATTTGACAGAGAAAGACACAGCGAGAGAGGGAACACAAGCGGGGGAGTGGGAGAGGGAGAAGCAGGCTTCCCGCTGAGCAGGGAGCCCGATGCGGGACTCGATCCAGGGACTCCAGGATCATGACCTGAGCTGAAGGCAGTCGCTTAACCAACTGAGCCACCCAGGTGCCCACCAAAGCTAAATTTTTATTTAAAAGAGAAAACACAGGGGTGCCTGACTGGCTCAGTCGGTAGAACACGCAACTCTTGATCTCTGGGTCATGAGTACAAGCCCCACGATGGGCGTAGAGCTTACTTAATAAACACACACACACACACACACATGGGCATGAAACAATATTTCATCACACACTCATGGTCCAGTGGTCATATTGCTCCAGTGTTTTTGTGAAATATCCTCAGAACGACTGAAACTGCAAAATATAAAGGAAAGAAAACAAAAACAAGAATGGTAAGCAATTCTCATTTCTACTGAAATCTGAAAATACAGAATTTCTATGTTTAATCTGAAGTCTAGAAACTAAACTAGAATATACCTTTTCATAGTTGAGTTTTAAAAAACCAATGTTTCTCTGTAAAATGAAGCAAATCCGAAATTTTTTTTTTCAAAAAACAATACGGAAAAGAATTATTCTCAGGGTCATATAATTTTAATAACTTCGACCCCAATTATTAAACCTTGGTTTTGGGAATCAGAAGCAACCAGCTCTTTACCAGGTTACTAATTAGAGGTAAAACCTAAATCAGAGCGCAGCCTTCTGGATGTGGGAGGAACTGTATCAGGCAGGTGCAGCGGCCACATTAGGAAACTCAAGAAGGATGGTGATGTTTTGTGGTTAACACTTAGAATGTATAAAAATATCTTCTCAGTTAGAAGCATCTCAGTTATTAGAAGACAGGGCCTTTTATTCCTGAACTTGACTCCAGAAAAGCAAATGCTCCATTTCTGTTAAGTAAAAAGGCTTCCTAAAATGTAAAGCCCCAGGTTAGGTATTAAAGAGCAGTGCTTCTCAAACTTTAACGTGCATATGAATCACCTGAGAACTTGTTAAAATGTAGGTTTTGATTCACTAGGTCTGGAGTGATGCCCAAGATTTGCATTTCTAACGAAATCCCAGTTGAGGTGGAAGCTACTGATTTACCCACCACACTTGAGTGCAAGGATATAGAGTACATACAACTGTGGCTTCCCCAGCTCTACCCTCTAGTGGGGAAAACCTCTAAGTAAACAAGGAACCATTGTAGTTTGACCTTAAATCACTCCTACCTACTGATTTTCATACGGTGGTCATAAATTTTTTTATTATTTCTGCATTAAAACTTCTTTTCATGAATGTATTGAAACCACAACAGTGGATCTTTGAAAAACCCTGGGGTTAGGGTCACTGACCCTTGCACAGTCAAAAATCTATGTATAACTTTTTAAAAAGATTTTATTTAGTTATTTGAGTGAAAGAGCACAAGCAGGGGGCAGGGACAAGCAAATGAGCCACCCAGATGCCCTTGTGTATAACTTTTGACTTCCCAAAAACTTAACTACTAATAGCCTAGTGTTGATGGAAAGTCCTACTGATAATACAAATAATCAACACATATTTGCATGTTATATGTATTATATACTGTATTTTTACAATAAAGTAAGCCAGAGAAAAGAAACTCTTAAGAAAATCATGAGGAGGGGCGCCTGGTTGGCTCAGTCATTAAGCGTCTGCCTTCGGCTCAGATCGTGATCCCAGGGTCCTGGGATCGGGCCCCACATCGGGCTCCCTGCTCTGTGGGAAGCCTGCTTCTCCCTCTCCCATTCCCTCTGCTAGTGTTCCCTCTCTCCCTGTGTCTCTCTCTGTCAAATAAATAAATAAAATCTTAAAAAAAAATTTAAAAAAAAAGAAAATCATGAGGAAGAGAAAATACATTTGCAGTATTGTATTTGCCAAAAAGAATTTTAAAAATCTGTGTATAAGCGAATCCATGCACTTCAAACTTGTGTTGTCAAGGGTCAACTGTAAATAAAATGATCCCACAGGAAAGGATACAAAAAAACAAATCTGTTGTGAACAGTTTCACTTAAAAAAAAATCAAGGAATCAGTTATGAAAAAAATTGAAACTGTACATTACTAGTTTCCCAATTGAAGTAAATGAAAGTGCTTCTGCACATAAAGAGGAAGTCAACTCCTCCTATCTGATCCATTTATTCAGTTAAAGCTTCTTGGATGAAGTCAACATTAGCCAGCAATGTTCATTTTATCCCAATCTATACCTCCTGTTTTAAGCAATCCGCTGAGTTAGAAGGTAGGGGTTTCCTATTCATTCAACAAGCATCTGTTGAGCACCAGCAGTGTGTTAGGCACTGGGCTGGGTGCAGAGGACAGAGAGCGAATGAGTGGGAAGAGACAAACAATAAGCAAGTAAACAGTTAACTGAAAATAGAAAACATGCAGCACTGCCTTGGCAGACAGGTGGGTGAGTCACTTTGGAAGCAGAGCCCCCAGCCCCAGTCGAGCCTTCAGATGACCCCAGCCCTCGCTGAAGTCTTGACTGCAAGCTCCTGAGAGACCCTGAGCCAGATCAATCCAGCCCTGCCACACTTGGATTCGTGATCCCCAGAAACTGTGTGAGACAATAAACACTTGTTGTTTTAAGCCACTAAGGTTTGGGGTGATTTGTTGTACAGCCATGGGTAACTACAACAGGAGAGACTGGGTGAGAGGCAGAACACGCTTATTTAAACACAGCCATCTGGTAAGGCCTCCTTGAGAAGGGAGACATTTAGGCTGCGAAGGATAAAATGGAGTCAGTCCTGAGGAGAAGGTGGTGGTGGTGGTAGCAGGATGAAGAACCGCACTCCAGAACAGGGGCACCACATGAAGGTCCTGAGCTGTATATGGGGGCAGTGTGGCCAGAGCTTATTCCTATGGGGAAGTGGGAAAGATGAAGTCACAGAGGCTGTCTTAGCCAAATCAGGTGGCGTCTCTTGTAAGATGCATAAAAATGCATCTTAATGCATTGGGGATCCTTTGATGAGTCTTTAGCAGAAGACTAATGTGATCTGTTCTGTTTTAAAAACCTCACTGGGGCTGCAGTATGGGGAAGGAATACTGATGCCTGGCCTGCTATCTACTCGTCAGTTATTCAGGAGCTCAATAAAGAATGATCAGGAATGGTTTGAAAGCATTAGGAATGAGGAAAAGATCTAATTACTGTCACAATTACTGATGCAATTATTCTAGATTCAGGCCTGCTGTGGCCTCTGGGCTGCTGCAGGGGAGAAAGCAACAGGGATATCTGCCCATTTCTGCAGGACCACAGGGCCTTTTCTTTTTCTTCTCTTCTCTTCTCTTCTCTTCTCTTCTCTTCTCTTCTCTTCTCTTCTCTTCTCTTTTCTTTTCTTTTCTTTTCTTTTCTTTTCTTTTCTAAGGAGGCTTCACACCTAGCATGGGGCTTGAACTCATGACCCTGAGATCACCCGTCACTACTGACTGAGCCAGCCAGGCGCCCCCTCGCAGCCTCCTCTGAGGCAGTCTCTGAACCTCACTGAACCCAATTCCAAACGTAGAAGAGTTATCTACTTGCTAAGCCTAAAATGTCGACGTGACAAGAACAAATTTACAGTACAAATTTACTTTTTGGTATGGGTATGTTTTTTTTTTAAGAATAGAAACTTAGTGTTTTATTATGTAGATAATGCTCCCTGTAGAAAAATACTCATTTATTATGCAGGTAATATGAATTGCAGAATAATTAAGAAATGCAAATGCACAAAAGAGAAAGAAACCTAAACATTACCGGTCACCCCAATTACTCCAAGATAAACACCGTTTTCATGTTGGTAAGTATCCTTCTTGTATCCTCATGCCTGTATGTAATATATACCAGTACAACTAAGATTTTTTAGTTTTTTTTTTTCCTTCTCCACTATAAAAGGCACTAATACTGATTTTAGGTAGTTTGGAAGATACAGAAAATATAAGGAAGAAAATAAATAGGACCAAGAACGCTACCCCTCTGTCTTTCTGCGAGTCTAAAGGCAGGTGGCCATCCATTCAAACCTGCAGTTGTCACTCTGAGTTGCCATTGCACAAATACGCATTTCCTTAATTTCAGCCTCCCTCCTTAGCTCACTAGAAAAGGAAAATAAAAGTTGAGGACTGTTCATTACATAGAGGATTTTGGCACCATTTTTATACCTCCCACTGAGATAAATAAATTGGGGGGTAGAAAAAAAGGTTTCTTCTTGCCACAAATTCTAACCAACTCCCCTCTGTAACTATAGGAGCAGTGCTTGAAGAGATGGATATGCTTTTAGTAATTCATACAGTAACAGTGCTCAAACTGAATTCTCAACCTCAAAACAAAGCCTGTCTGGAGAAGTCTATTAAGTTCTGTTTGTCCTGGTTGTCTAAGTTTCTCCCAATATATCTCTAATAACCTGATATCAAGTTTGAAATAAAAATTCTTCCCCTCCTGGACATTAGCCATTCTTATTTTCATATGATTCCCTGGACATCCCTGCAAAGTCTTTTGTTGCTATCTTAGGCTGTCTTCCAGAATCACAAGTACTGTGGGCCCTGAGAAACTTAAATCTCAGTGATAATCTTGCATATTTTATTGAACAACTGAAAGCCATTTACTTAATGGAAAGTATTACAATGCATGATGCCATTCCAATCAAGGTTTAATTCATGTGAAGGCAAGACTTTCAAGAGCATAAACCTGTATTTTGTTTATAAAAGGAGCCACTCCACGGTTAAAGTTCACAGGAATTTTAAACCAGTCATCCATAGCCAACCCTGATATAGTTTTACCCCTGGGATACTACAGTTACCTTTTTGGATTCATTGGAAACATTTTTAGCCAATAAGCTCTAACAGAGACATGATCTTGATGAACCTGAACTCTGGAAAGCCAGGGTAAAAACCAGGAATTTGGACTGCATTGTAAAAGGGTAACCCGAGATGATTCTGGGAGGGGAGAGGAGGGGGTGGGGAGGCAATGAGCAAATACAGGAATTAGGGTTTCATTTACACCTCTGGTTATAAATTAGATATTTTGTCTAGATTGAAGACATTAGTGGGCACGAGTGGAGAAAATATGTTTGAATGTGATATGGTTTGAATTTCTCACATCTAACTATGAACCAGAACTACGGATAAGAGTAATACGGGGCACAAAGAAGAACCCAAACAGAACCAGGACTGTCTGGTTGAAGGTTATATCTGGTTTCATAGTAAAGGGGAAGTTAGGACACAACAGAAATCACAATATATTATTGATATAGTTTTGGTGCTATCTTAAGTTGTTTTTGTTTTTGTTTTTGTTTTAAGTAAGCTCTATGCCCAATGTGGTCTTGAACTCACGACCCCGAGATCAAGAGTTGTATGCACTACCAGCTGAGCCAGCCAGGCACCCCATGGG